GTCCCGCGTTCTACCGCCCCCTGCCGGGGTCGCCGGGAACACCCGCCCCGGGGCCCGCCCCGCCTCCGGACGCCCTCAGCCCCCACCGGCCCCGGGACCCCCTCAGGCCCACGGGCCCCGGGACCCCCTCAGCCCCAGGGGCTCCGGGATCCCCTCAGCCCCACAGGCCCCTGGATTCCCCTCAGCACCACAGGGCCGGCCCCACCTCAGCCCCAGGGGCTCCAGGATCCTCTCAGCCCCACAGGCCCCTGGATTCCCCTCAGCTCCATGGGCCCCAGGAAGCCCCAGAGGCCCTGGGACCCCCCTCAGCCCCACAGGGCCCAAGAGCCCCCTCAGCCTCTGTGTGTCCCAGGACCCCCTCAGCCCCACGGGCTGAGCAGGAGGCCCCCTGCCAGGCACGGTGTTCCCGTTCCGCAGGCTCCTGCCTCCGAGGGGCGGCCATGGTGACCCGCTGCCCGAGGAGGGAGAAACCCTCGCCTCCTTTTTAGAGCCAAACCCAGCCCAAACCGATCCCCAGCGGCGCCTGGGAGTGCTGCTCCCACTGAGCGGCTCCGAGGGCTCCCCGCTGGGCTGCGGGGCTCTGGAAAAACACTCCCTTTGCAAGAAAATCGCCCGGAAGCATCGGCCCTTTTCCTTGGCAGGGAAAACCGGGTCCCTGTGGGCTAGCTCTTGTGCACAACAGAATAATGAGGCACAGTCCTTTCTCCTTTCTTTTCCCCAGCTAGTAAGTGCCACAAAACCCACAAAGCTTGCTTGGTAACTGCTGGTGGACTTTCTTCCTCATACCCTTTCCCCATCCTTAAACCAAACACTCCACGTTTCAGCCCTAGATGACCTGAAAGCAGCGGGACGAGGGATGACACCTTCTTGCAGAGATGCTGACGGCGCTTCTTTCTCTGGGGAAGATACAAACGCGACACTGTTGGGCTTGTTTTCCAGCCTGGCTGTCACGTCATTCCAGATGCGGCTTGGGTGGAGAGGGGCTATTTTCGCACTCCTACCATGCTTTTAAAAATAGCTGGTTTTATTTTAACACTCCTGGGCTCTTTGGCTGTTTAAAATGCTTAGTAAGTCATACCGTAATAAAAGTTATACCTGCTGATGCATGCTATTGTCATCAGCTTCTTTCCCATGTAATTCCAGATAAGGTACGGAGATGTGTGACAGGTCTGAGATGGGGCTGCTTGGGCTGTACTCAGCAGATCAGGTGAGTTGTACAGTTTCCTGCAAGCAAAATTATCCGGTTCTTGTTGTCCCACACAGTAATGGTGCTGCTGGTACATTTTCAGCCCTGTAACCCCCCATTTTCTTTCTGGAGATATTTCCACAGCCACACGTCCCCCGCACTGTCTCTGGGAGGTGGCTTAGCCTGTGCCCAACATGTAAAACCTTGCATGTGTCCCTATTAAAGCTGATCCTGTTATTTTAGGCTGTTTCTCAAGGTCATCCCAGCTTGGTGCCACCAGCAAATTAAAAAGCGTGCATCTCTCCTTGTCAGCCCGGCTGCAACAGATGGGTGTACAGCAGTGGGCTGCCTCACCTTGGCCACAGCTGCTCAGACAGGGATAGCTGCTCCTGAAGGATGGGTTTCCCTCAGGGTTTTGCATCTTCCATTAGTCACTTCCTCACAGCTTTGTTTCCTGCCCAGCTCATGAGAACATCAAACAAGGCAGCTACAGGTCCATCACCACTGCTAATTGTCAGCGCAAAAATGTCAAAGAGCCAACACATATTGAACTCTTGGGCCAGAACCATGGAATTCTGAGAACTTCAATCAGAGTGGCTCTCTCTTGTATTATTTATGCTGTGGTAGTGCTCCGAGACCCACCGGAGCCAAGAGAGCGTCACACCAGACATCCACGCGAAGCCAACGTATCCGCCCAGCAAACTACCCAGGGACGAGGCCGGGAAGGGCCCATAGCTCGCTGCAGAAGGTCTGGGGGAAGTGTGAAACCTGTGACGGAGCTTGAGAGCAGGCAGGGATCTCAGAGAACCCTCCTTTCAGCTATGTGATCCACTGCCTGCTGGTTTGGGCACCCAGTTTGGGTTTGGGGTCAGTGTCAGTTGATCTCTGAAACCTGTTATTCAGTCTAGAGTCATTTCTCCAGCAAGAAATGCTTCATGACCAGGGTAAGCATCTTGCCACCGTGGGTGCTGGCTGCAGGCTGCAAAGCTCCGAGTGCCAGGGAGGCTCTGCAGCCTCTCACCCTGCTGTCAACGGGCTGTCGTCTTGTTTCTTCATTGACTTTCACCTGGTTCTGCCTCCTCCCTTCCAAGATGTTGCTCTCCTGAGAGAGGAGCCTCACCCTGCTCCTCTTTGCTTGCCCCTTCAGAAATCCTCTGCCAGCTCTCACCCCCCCAGGACCCACAGCCTGCCTCCAGCACTGTGGGAAGGATTCAGCCCATCAAGGCAGGGATCTCTACAGAAGCAGCAGCACAGGTGGCTCCGCAGCCTGGCTGCTCCCTCCTGGCAACCACCATCCCTCTGCAAGGATGGGTTCCCCTTAGGGTTTTGCATCTCCCGTTCTCCTGTGGAAGCTGCTAAAGGCAGGCTGGGACCACTGGGTACTCAGAGAGGTGGAGAATCCTCCCTCCTTGGAGATGCACAGCTCCCCTGGAGGCAAACTCTGCTTGGAAGCAGGAGCTCTGATGAGAGCCCTCCGGAGCTCCCTTTGCATCCAACACCTGCCTGCAGCACTGCCATCCGAATCTGGCATCTCACTGGGGTGCAATAAGCTGTAGTTTCCTGTGGAGGGACGGAAACGGCCAACACCACCTCCAGCATCCCCCACACCCCCAAGCTGCCTGGGACATTGCTGCACATCCAGGGCATGGGGCAATGTGGGGAGCCTGGGGCTTCCTCCTGTGCTGGGCCATAGGAAGCCAGAAGAGGAGGAGAACGGGGTCCCTCACCTGCCATCGAATGGACACGTGGCAAAGCGGGAAACCTGGATTTCCTTTGAGCCACATCCTAGCCCCATGTGGCGGTGAGCCCATGCCTCAGCGGCCATGCCAGGCCGGAGCTCAAGGTTGTCCTGGCAAGGATAAGCAGAGGTCAGAGAGGGAGGATGTTCAATTAAAGCTGCTTAAAAAAGAAATCCAACTTTCCATATGCCTCTCTGGAGAAAAAAAAAAAAACCAAAGCTGAGCGCAGACAGGGTGCAGGCTGGGGGCTGAGTGCGGCCCCAGCGGTAGAGGTGACTCCGGCTCAGCCGTTCCTGCTGCATCCAATCTGTGGGGACTGAGGTTGCCTTTTGGCATTTCCTTATGGAAAGTTGGACATTTGGCTCAGCAGAAGTCCCTGCGCGAGCTCGGACAGCGGCCAGCCCTGTGACACAATGTCCTCCAGGCTACACACAGCTCCCGACGCTCCCCCTGCCCCGGCACACTGGGGTGCCAGTGATGCTGGAGGCAGCTCTGCCCGGCAAGGCTGGTGCCCGGGTGTGCTCCTCCACTGGGACACCAGATTGGGATGGTGGCATTGGGGACTGTGCGAGAGCAAGGAGCTGTCCCATCTCCACTGGCGGCCCCGGCACAGCTTCAGCCCATCCTGTTGGAGAAACCCAAGTGCATTCCCACAGACGAGGAGTCGTTCCCCAGCCGGCACCTTCGCCAGGAGTAATTTCCCTGGGCAAAGGAATGGAGGATTCATCCATCGCGTGGCGGAGGCAGCGGGTGGCGTGGCCGGGAGGTTGGCCCTCGTGTCACCGTGCCACGTGTGCCATCCCGCTCACACAGCTGCCCAGAATAGTGTCACCATCTGGTTCCAGCTGCCTGGGGACACGAGGGCGTCCCTGGCCCCTTCTGCGATTACAAAAAGTGAATTCAGACATCAACTCAACCTAACTCGGCCTTCCTTTATCCCCTTTTCTTTTTTTTTTTTTTTTTTAATAATTCAGGTTTGTCTCTTAGAAAAGAGAGGGAGATAATGTCTGCAGAGCATTTAATCTGCTGCCCAAAGAACAGCAGAGAGCAAATTAGGATCTACTCCAATTAATTTGCCTTGATGGGCAAAATCTGGAGAGCGGCCATATCTGGGAATTAAGAACAAAAGCGGGGAGTGTAAAGTAGGTCGCTGGAGTTTCATAACCGGAGCGATGTGTTTTCACAGCATGCCGGGTGCTCAGAGGTGCCCAGTGGTGCCCAGTGCTGGGGGCCACCGGTCCCTGACCCCCCCGTCCAGCGACCACGGGTTTCAGCCTGGGCAGTTGCTTTAAGATGCTGGCCAGTGTGTAGGGAGCCAGCTGTCCAGTTTTAGGGGCAAGAACGAGGATGTTGTCCCTTCCCACAGAGGGACATGGCTGCAGGACTGTCCTGAACCCTAGAACCCAACAGGAGGATGGACACTGGCTGCTTGTCCCGATTTTGGAGCACCCGGAGAGCTTTCCCCAGGGTTGGCATGCCCATCCTTGCTATCATGCTGCCATTCCCGGCCTTACAGGCACCTCCTTGCAGGAGGACTAGGGGTGACACGGTGACAGTGGGCTTAGGGCAGTGCTCTGCTATGGACCCTTGCGCCATGGGGTGTCACCAAGCAGAGGTGACCCACAGGCCCATCCTAGCCTGGCATCCCCAAATCCCAGCCCCGACTCCCTGGAACCATCAGTGCCTGCAGGCTGTGCGGTGACATACTCTGGTGTCACATATGGTGACACCTTCCAGCTGCAGGACATGTGTGGTAGCACAGCCAAGGGGGCGGGCCATGGGTGGTGACATGCGCTGGTGCACAGGACACGTGGTGACATAGCCAAGGGTGTGGGACACGTGCAGTGACGTCTTCCAGGGCACAGGACATGTGCGGCATGTCTTTCTGCGTGCAGGATCAAACGCCCAGAGTGTTTGGTGGGTGTTTGCAGATCTTCCCAAACACCCACAAGCTCCCAGCTGGATTGAAGCGGCGCGGTTTGTTGCACGCCGGTCTCACCATTGCAGTGATGGCCTGGCAGAGCATGGCTTCGGTGGCCCTCCAGCTCCCCGGCCACCTCCTGCCACCCCAGTGGAGGACGATGGGGAGCAGCCCGTGGTGGCGAGCCCACCGCTCCTGGCCCCGCAGAGGTGCCGGCAAGGCGACAGGCGCTGCGTGGTGCGTGGCTGGTGCCTGTCTGGTGTTTATCCTCTTAGCCACCCTGCGAGGATCCAGCACTAATTCACCCTTAAACACTGGATTGTCACGAACTGGAAAGGAAAGAATCGGCAGATTATCCCCCTGACGCTGGTGTTAAACATGGGGAGTGGCAGCTGCCGGCCAAGGAGAGCCAGGACAGCATTTTGCCCCGTGTCCCATGGGGGACCTGGCCCTGGGCTTGGTACCGTCCCCCAGCAAAGGCTGCAGGCAGCCTGTCCCTGCTCCTCTCCAGGTGATGTTTTGTGTGTGTGTCCCCAAGCCAGCTCCAGGCTGGTTAATGAAATAAACAGCACGAAATAAACACGGGATCCCCCCATAAAGCTGAGGGGTTGGCAGTGACAGCTCAGCCCCCCAGGATGTACCATGGCACAACAAGCCGGGCAGCATTTCCCGGTCCCGGATGCCGGCAGGTGACCGGAGCAGCCATGGTGACATCCCAGAGGTCAGGGTTCACACGTTTAAGTGACCAGACCTCACAGGAAGAGGTTTTGCAATGAAACAAGCAATAATTTTCCCTGGCTCAATGAGGACAGCAGTAATTAAGCTTCTTGCTTGCACACCGATGACTTTCAGACACAGGCCAACATGCAAACACTTCCCTGGACCAAAACCACAACCGTGCCCCGTGACCAGCTGCGGGGGTGTTTCTGGGACAGCCTTGAAGTCACCCCAGGAGTCAAAGACACTGCAGCAACTCGCTGCTCACGGCACGTAGCTGCTTTTCTCATTGCTCCTGCTTGCAGCTGAGCCTTGCACGGTCCATGGTGTGGTGGCACACACGTTGGCCAGAGGATTTTGGCAGTCAGGGTGCTGTTGCCTTTACCAAGTGTGATGGTGTCCCATGTGCTGGCCAGATCTACCCACCGCTGCTGCCGGGAGCCTTGGGGCTGTGCCAGTGAGGAGCCCTTGATCTGTGCAATAGATGGGGTGGCCCATTTGCAATTTTAATGTCCCTTTATGTGGTGGGTGAGGGGAGATGGCTGTTCCCTGGAGAGCAGGGAGGTCACCTTGCCCACCCGCATCTAGGGGAACTGGTTTGTCATGATGGGCTTTAGTATGCTAGGAAAAAAAATCCGAAGTTTGCAGCATAACAGCAACAGGGATGGGAATAACAGCATCTTCCATTGATTGTCACAAGTTTAACCAAGTTAAACTCCAGCACATCAGCTTGGTTTAACTTCAGTGAGTCCCACTTGGACCTGGATGAGAGCTTTGGTTCCCTGGTTTTTCACCTAGGTCATCTCGTCTGTCCTGGTTTTGGCTGGGAGAGAGTTAATTTTCTTCCTAGTAGCTGGTAGAATGCTGTGTTTTGGATTTAGGATGAGAATAATGTTGATAACACACTGATGTTTTAGTTGTTGCTAAGTAGTGCTTACACTAAGTCAAGGACTTTTCAGCTTCCTGTGCCCTGCCAGGTGCACAAGGAGCTGGGAGGAGCTGGTCAGGGCGAAACTATCGCTGCTCAGGGACAGGCTGGTCATAGCTCAGGGGGTGATGAGCAGTTGTGTCACTTGTTTTTCCTGGGTTTTGTTTCTCTTGCTCTCTCTTGTTGTTTTCCTTTTCATTACATCATCATCATGATCATCATCATCATCAATCATCATCATCATCATCATCATTATTATTATTATTATTAATTATTATTATTATTATTTCAATTTTTAACCTGTTCTTATCTCAACCCATGAGCTTTCTTACTTTTCCTCTTCAGATTCTCTCCCCCATCCCACTGGGGTGGGAGGGTGAGTGAGGGGCTGCGTGGTGCTTAGTTGCTGACTGGGGCTAAACGATGACATTGTCTAAAAAAAACCTCCTCTTTTCCCTGCAACCCCCAATTTCCTTGATGACCATTAATAGGACCAAATATAGCAGGACCAAAATAAAAGGGATGGAAAATGGGATTTCTTTCAGAAAATTGTCTGATGTTGCTGGAGTTACCCATCAGAGGACAAGGTATCAGCTGCCAAAAAGAAAAAAAGAGAAATACACGGACTGTGTTTTCCTAAGATGCCCTTTAAAATAAATAAACCATTTGACCCATCTCTAAAGGGAATATCCTTTATGCCTAGCCCTGAAAAGCAGCTGTCAGGTGATGGCAGGGTGGTGGGAATCCCCAGTCCAGCCCTCCCTGGGGCCGCCAGGTCCCATGGGCTGCCCAGCATGGCTGCAGGCGATGCGCTGGGAGGACAGAGCCACAGAGCCCCCCAGTGACCCTCCCTGGGTCATCTCCCCTCCAATCCCTGGAGCAAACCCAGAGCTTGGGAAGAATGTGAGGGGCATCCCACGGCAGAGAGACAGGAGAAATGTAAAAGTGTCTTTTAATATAAATATAAATCCATCTGAAGGGCTGCAGGAGAGGACTGCCCCACAGGGGATGCCCGGGGGGGAGATGGGCTCAGCAGGGACCATGGGTGCCAGTGCCTGGCCAGCACCGGGGGACTGACCCGGGGCATTGGCTGGGCACCCCCGTGGGCAGGCAGGGCTACAGCCGAGGCACCAGCAGTGGCAGGGCCAGCAGGGCCAGGAGGCGGGGGCGCGGGGGGGTGGCCGCCCGCCAGTGCTGGCCAGGCGTCCCCGGGCGCTGCACAGCTCCTGCAGGTTCCCCTGGAACTGGATCTTGCGGGACTCCTGGCGCAGTGATTCCCAGATGGCGGCCGCTTCCTCGGGGCAGCTAGACAGCACCTTGCTGGCGCAGGTGTGGAAGTCGTCCCAGGACCTGGGAAGACAGGCAGGAGTGAGGAGGACGGCTGGTGGCAGGTCACCCGGCCGTCCCAGCAGCTCCCGCGTGGACGGGGACACTCACTTGCAGATGGTGTCCAGCTCCTGTGCCTCCTCGCCGCCCTCCTCCTGCTGCCGCCGGACACTCTGGGCCATGCTGTCCCCCAGGCTGATGAGGCAGCCAGCGAAGCCCTGGTAGATGGTGTCACACTTCCCCGCCATGCTGACGGACTCCTGGCTCACAGCTGCGGGGAACAGGAGAGATGGACCTGAGCCCCTGCGGACCCCCCTGACAGCCATTGCCCGCCCAGCTCAGAGACGCATGGGGTGCGGGTGTCACCAGGTGGGGGTGACACTGGGCTCCGAAATGTGGCAAGGGGCTGGCACCCCATTCCGCATCCCACCAGACCCCCGGCGTCCTCTCCTCAGGTGCTCAGAGTGAACTTTCACTCCTGGTCCAGGAGCCCAACATGGCACGATGCGATGACCCCACAAGTGATGCTGCCATTAGCCGCAGGGGAAGAGCTGCGTGCCGGCCGCTTCGCCTCGGGCCTCCCGGGCTCTCCCCGGAGCCATCTGTCCTGGCTTTTATCCCCTAACAGCAAAGATTAATTTGTGACTACAACAGAAAAAAAAAAACAAAAGCAAAGGCTCAGCAAGCTGGAGTCCCTGCTCCTACTGCAGCAGGAGAGGAAGGGACAGGGGAAGGGGAAAGGGTAAGGAGAATGGGGAAGGAGAAAGGAGAAGGAATGAGGGAAAGGGAGAGGGGAATGAGGGAAGGGGGAAGGGGAAAGAGGAAAAGGTGGGAAAGAGGGAAGGGTAAAGGAGAAGGGGGAAGGGGAAGGAGAAAGGGGGAAGGAGAAAGGGAAGGAGAAAAGGGAAGAGGTAAGGGGAAAGGGGGAAGGGGGAAGGAGAAAGGAAAGGAGAAAGAGGAAGGGGAAAGAGGGAAGAGGATAGGGAAGGAAAAGCACGAAAGGAAGAGACACAAGTGCAACTCTGCCTGCTTCACCCTGGAAAGTCCCAATTCCCTGCTCTGCTCCGCAAGGGATGAACCACCGGGAGCGGCCGAACCCTGGTGCCAGCCACGGGACGGTGGGTGACAGGGTGTGTTGGGGATGACCGCAAGTGCCATCCACAGCTGGGGTGAAGCCCAGAAGGAGCCGGTGTTTGGCTGGGTCACAGGGAAATGCTGCGCAGTTGGCTCGGCTCTGCCCTGGGGGTCCCGCAGGGCCACGTCACAGGAGGTGCGAGGCTTTGGGAAGTGCTATGGGTGTGCACCCAGGAGCTCGCTAAGCTGAGGATGCTAAAAAGGCATGAGGACAGTCCCAGAGGGGTCCCCTGTGGGAAGGTGACCCCAGAAGCAGTCGAAAGTTGCCCAGCGCCTGCCAAGGCAGCCAGGATGTCTCCAGGGAGCCGTGTGCCGTGCCACTGGCATCCCATGCCTGTGCTCCTGGAACAAGGCCCTGAGCAAAGTGGCTGCAGCTGAGACTAGTGCCGGGGCAAGCCTGAAACCTCAGCCCGTCACAGGGCACAGCGGGTGTTCACGATGAGAAACCCCGCAAACACATCACCGAGGAAAGTCTCAGATTGATGGCAGCCACGTGGGTGACAAATATCACAGGTATCAGTAGAGAAAGTGGGATCTGTTGCTGTTCTTTTGACCCAGCCGGGCAACAAGTGCGTCTCCCACCAGCCCAGGGACACACTGGGAAATGCCTTCCCTTGGCCAGCTGGTCCCTGCCGCAGGCTGGGTTTTGGCCTCTTGGGCTCCTCTAACGCCTGGCCCAAGCCCTCCCTTCCTCCCAGCTCCCTCGGCACCAGGCTGGGCAGGGCAGGCAAGGAAGGAGAAACAAGGAGGGCAAATCACTTCTGCTACCCTGCTGCAAAACCAGGCGGGAAAAACCTGCCCTCGGCTGCGTCAGGGAGAGAGCCCCAAGGGAAAGGCGGGGAGGGGGCCCAGGGTGCTGCAGGGCACCGCTGGCTCCAAGCGAGCGCTGGCGCAGCCGTCCTGCTTCTGGGGAAGGGCCTGAATCATCCACCCCCTGAGCCAAAAACTGCCCCAGGCTTGGCAGTCCCCATCCTCCACCCTTTGTGCAGCGCCGGACCAGCTTAGCCCTAGGCTCCTGCATCCCTCTTCGGGGCAGGGATGCCACTGGGTACTGCTGCGCCCAGAGCTGGATGGTGTCCTCCTTCGGCTCTGGGAGGAGTGGGAGAGCATGGAGGTGGCACGTTGGTGCCGGATCTGCCGGACAAGTGTTCCCCAGCGGGCAGGATGCCCTCCGGTCCCCTGGTGAAGGAGGGCAGGCAGGGAAAGCCACCAGGAGCACGGGGTCGGCTTGGGGCGCTGCTCCGGGCTGGAGCGTCGGAGCCTGGGGACTGTCCCTGTCTGAGCAGAGGCACCCCTGGGCAGTGCTGCAAAGCCACTTTCCTCCCTGCCCGGCACTGCAGGACGGGACGACAGCGGATCGCTGAGCCTCGGGGCAACCGGGCACCCCGCTCCCCGCAGCTGGAGAGGGTAGGGGCGCCGAGGTGGCCGGGG